TCCATTCCTTTCACAGGGATGGATTAATTTTACCTGGCTTTTGTGTGTGTGTGTGTGTTTTCTAAGAGATAGGGTCTCGTTATGTTGCCCAGGCTGGCCTTCAACTTCTGGGTTCAAGCGATCCTTCTGCCTCTGCCTACTGAGTAGGTGGGACTACAGGCACACGCCGCAGCACTTGGCCTCACATATTGTTTAAAAACCCCTATTCTATCACGTTCCCTTCACTCTTAGCAGATGATTAAAAATTATACAAGACATGTCATCAACTCTTCCTTCCTGCCCTGTCAGTTACAAACTTATTTACACTGCCATCCATCTCCTTCCTTTCTGCTCACTGGAAAAGTGAGACTACCTTCTATTTAAGGCCAACTTCTCTACCTACGCCCTGGATCTCATTCCCTATTACCTTCAAATCCTTGCCTCCATCCACCAGCCAGTTTCCCACGCCCATCAAACACACACATATACACTCTTCTTCAGTTTCTCCTCTCCACTGGCTCTTTCCAAGCTCACATTAAGCATGTCCAAGATTCCATTTGTAAAAAAGGCAAACTTCTCTAAATCCCAAGCATCTCCCCCTACTTACAGACTCAGTCAGAGTCCTTTGTTGAAAACATTGTATCCCTCTCAATTAGCTACACTTACAGTTGTTATTCACTTTTCAACACCCACCCCCATGCATTACAATGTAGCTAAGTGCTCTAGCTGAAGTTACAAAAGACATCCTAATCATCAAGTCTCAGAGACTTTATTCAGTCTTAATCTTACTTTTCCTTTTGGAGGCAGGATACAGTGTTGACCACTCCTAGTCCTTGAAATAATATTCTCCCTCAGCTTTCATGACAAATCTCTATGTCCTTTTTTCATCTTTGGTCTGTCTGGCACAGACGGTTGGCTTCTCTTCCGCTGCTTGCCCAATCTACTCAGCAGATCACAACAGAAATGTAGGAATCATCCAAAATCTTCAGTCTTGCTCAATTCTATAATCTAAATATATTTTTCCTGTCCCGTTAATAATACTTCCTAAATCTCTCATAGAACCATTCCCTCTTCTACACTCTTCATCATTTCTCGCCAGGAATAGCTTCCTAACTGGTCCTTGCTTCCAGTTTTGTTTCTAATTCAATATTCACTTTACTGTCAAAATGACGAGTCTAAAATACAAATCTGATTCTACCACAGCATAGCTTAATTTTTTCCCCACTAAATCCCCACAAACTTCAGAATTAAGTTAAAGTTCCTTAACTTGGTTCACAAGACAATCATTGATTTGGCTTATTACTTCATCCACCCCTGTTCTAAAGCTGTGTTATTGCTGTCCACTCACCTGCAGTCATTGAGTATGTGACTGTAGTTGTCCAAATTGAGATGTGCTATAAGTGTAAATTACATACCAGATTCTGAAGACAGTAGAAAATTATGCACGGGATTCTGAAGACAGTATGAAAATGGAAAAGTCATATTTCAATATTACTTTTTATACTGAATGCATGTTGAAATGATATTTTGGATATACTGAGTTTATATTATTAAAATTAATTTCACTTTTTACTTTTCAAAATGTGGTTACTAAAAAATTTTAAGTTGTATATGTGACTTATATTTGTGGCTTGTATTAAATTTCTATAGGACAGCACTGGTATAAGATGTACTTTCCCTCTTTCTGGACCTAGTTAACTTTTACCTATTATTGAAGATTAGCCCAGGTAACACTCTAAGATGCATTCTAGACACCCTCCCCCCATCCCCCCAAGTCTGAGTCAGCTACCCTTCCTCTGTGCTTCCATCCATAGGAATGTGTGCACAGCCCTGTCATACTATAATTATTGGTTATCACCTATCTTTTCCTCCTCAACTGTAACCTCCTTGCAAAAAGGAATATCATATTCTATAATACTCAGGTACTACCTACCACCATGCCTGGCACTTAAAAGGTACTCAAACATTTGTCAAACAAATGTAAACTATCTATTCCTGGCCTAAAGATTACTAGAATTTACAATTCACGAAGGAAAACAAATCAGCCTTGAGGGAACCTAGACTGTACCAGGAGTTTCAGTAATGAAAGGACTGGGAAGGAAAGTGGGGTGGGGGGTGCGGGGGGTGGGGAAGATTGTAGGAATCACAGTAAAGAGATGAGCAAATGACAGAACAATGCTCATCATACACATCTGCCTCTTACAGTGAAAACAGCGATTTGCAACACTGATATGGAGCCTTGTACCCACACTTGGCATGCCAGGGGCCACAGTTTGGTTCCTAAATTACTTAAACAACCCATCCAACAAAAGGGTATGATTTGGCAGGTATCAACACAAATGGCTAGAGCCCAGCACCTGTTCCACTTAAACAGCACATCAGTACAGTTAAAAAGAACAACAAATCTCTCTCATGAAGCAAATGCTAATCTCATGATGCTTCACCACGGAACAATTTAGAAGAGTTATTACATGAAATGTGCCAAAGCATGAATTTATTGCTGATGCTTATTTGGCAAATATGGTTGGCACTGTTAGATGTTGAAAAACATGTATGCAAATAAGCAAATAAAAGTTTTTAAGCTCTCAAGCTTAAATATTTACATTACCATAAATGTACAAAGATAAATGTTTATATGAGTACATGTATAATGCATTCCAGGAACACATTTTTTAACGTGATTGTCGGGAAACAGTTATGAAGTGGCATTATTTCTTAATGGGCCTTCAAGGTAGACTCTTAAAAATGAATTTTGAACGTTAACAGGCTACAAACATTATTGTGAAAGTTTCTGTGTACTATCAACTGGATAAAACGAATAGTTGAGGTATCATAATAGTTCAAAGTGATCTTATATTTTTCTTTCACCAAAACACTTCTCTTCCAACCCTAGATTACAGCCACACATAAATTTTAGCCCCTAAGTTGGGGCGGGAGTAGGGGGTAGTGAGGGAAGAGAAGGAACACACATTAAAAAGCCTTAAAGAAAATAATTTGACATTTTCCCCACATAATACAGTCATGTTAGAGAATCCAAAACAAAGACATAATAAAATATTCCCCCTTTCCTCCCTGACAGCAATGAAAAGGGGATGTTTGTTTTTTCACATAGTTTGTGAGTTGGTCATATCCAAAATTCACTAGCAGTGCTATGAATTCTACTTCCATTGTTCATCTCTGGGCTGAGGCTACAACCCTCAACTTTGAAGCCAAGAAAATGTACCATATCTGCCATTATAGTTTACTAAACAAGTCACCAAAGAGAAGTCCCAGGCAAGTCAGAAAGTAATTAGGGTAGCCAGTGAATTGAGCTATCTAAAAATGCTCTGAGATTACAGGAGAAGCCATCATGAAGTGAGTATTCAAGATTGCTCATGGAAAGTTTTACCCCTGTGGATAATTCACGTTTTTCACTTCCATACTGCAGAGAGCAGTATGGGTTCTCTGACTACACACATCACTACATCACTTCATTTATCGGGAAAAGACGACGCTGTGGCTGAACAAAAATCAGTAGGTAGGCCCCAAAACAGAATCCTCAAGGCAATCCCAGTTCAGGTGAAAAGCTGTTCTCGTACATCATCCAATGACCTAAAAATAGTCTTTTATGTAAGTCTCTAAGTATTTAATTCAACGTATGATCTTACCACACTCAATAGAGGCAGAAAAAAAAAATGAATTAGGTTTTCTATAGCAAGGCCAATAAAGATGAAATCATAGTTTTCCTCTAGCTCATCACTACCCCCTCAACGCCAGCCTTCCAATAACTCCATTCCACAGCTCTCAAATTCCTGAACTTGGATCTTTAAAAAACAACGAATTGCAAAAAGTAACATTTAACAGGCCAGAGGCAGGCGGGGTAGGAGGGTCGCTCCCGGTGCTCTCAGCAATCTTGAACGCAGCCAAAGGAGGAAAAAATGAAATCAAGCTCCCAGACCGATGGTGGATACGACGAGGGGGAAGGGGACAGACGCGGTTCAGACGGCAAGTCCCCATCGAGGGAGGAAAGAAAAGTTGCAAGAACGGATGAGTCAAAGGGCAGAGAAGAAAAAAACTGAGCAGCCGAACCACTCACAACCCCCAAACGACCCCGCCAGCCCACACATTCGCAAGCTCCCCAGCCGCGGCGCGAAGGGAGCAGGCAGGGAGCCACCCGGCGCTGCCGGCGAGGCTGCACCGATGCTCCCGGGTGTGGGAGCGGACTGACCGTGTGGACCCGGCAGGAGCCAGAGAAGTCCTTTCTACCCTGGCCTCCCTGCGTCCAGCTCCTCCAGGCTTCACTTTCCCCCGCAGCCTCCCTGCCGCGCCGGGGGGCGTCCCTCGCGGCGGGTCCCAACTTTCCTTCCTCTGGGGGGCGCCGCGCTCCCAGGGCCGCCGCCGAGGGAGGGGGCAGGGGAGGCGGGGGGCGCGCGGCACCAGCGGGGCGCGGGGGTGGCCGGAGAGCGAGAGCCCGCGCCGGGCTGGACGCACTGGCCGCCAGAGCCCCGGCAGCGGCGCCACCCAGAACCCGCGCCGCCCCGCCCGGATTCCCCCGGGTCAGCGCCCTCAACCCGCGGCAACCCTGGTCCCACAGCCGGCGCGTGAGTAAAAGGCAACCGAGGGGACACAGACAGCCTGGCCGCTGTTACCTGAGGGGCGCACACGACGCCGCGGCGACCACCATCGCCGTCCGTCCCGTCCCTTTCCTGGTGACCACGGCCGCCGCCGCCGAGCAACTGACACTAAGAACAACTAACTAACTACTCGCCGCGGCCGAGTCCACCGCGCGCTCCCGGCCGCTCGTCGCCCGCCCAGCCCACCAGCCTGCCCGCCTCCTCTCGGCCCCGCGCGCCGCCCCTCCGCGCGCGCCCTCGCCCGCTCGCCGCGCTCCTGGAGCCGTGAGCACGCACGCGCGCGCGCGCACAAGCTCCAGTTGTCTCCCAGGTCTCCCTCAGCCCAGCGGGAGGAGTCGCCGCCAGGCCCCTCCTCTCTGCGTTCCAAGCTCCAGAGGACGAGACCTAAAGGGCGCCTGATTGGCTGTGGAGGGCGGGGCCAAGACAAGGGGCGGGGCTGCCGAGACCTTGGGCCCGCGAGAGCGAAAATTTGGGTTCGATTAAGCCGCATAGGAAAAGATCAGGGAAGTCTGGGCCCATCTGGGCGTCGGAGCCCGCTAGGTCAGCCGTCATCGAATACAGAATATGTTTTCGAGGACGCTAATATATAGTCATGACCAATTTCAGTTCCTCTACTTTCTGCGGGCCGTGGCAATAAAAAAAAAAACTACATCTCCCAGAAACCTCCACGAAAATAAGGCTCACCTTGCGTAACCGCGTAGTCCTTCGCCGCATTGGGGCAAAATAATCCCTTCATTTTTCTGAAGGGACCGTGGAAAATATTTCATTTTTCTCCTCACCGGAGCAATTGTAAATGCTGTGCGGTAAGAGGAGTTACCTGTGGAAAGGTGGTTAAGAGATTAGGTAAAGAAAAGGAAAGGACACCAAAATAAAGTGCTGCGGAAGAATTTTTGTCCAGCTGTGAGACGACGAGTGCGTGAAGTGAAGGCGATTGAGAGGGGCTGAGGGAATTGTCCTCTGTGCAAGGGACTTTCTTTAGGCCCCAGGCCCCTTCCTGCCCCTGTCGTCAGCAGGTCAGTAAGCAAGGCGAGCTTGGGGGTGGCCCCAGTCGAGCTGCCTTTCACCCCTTGAAGATCACCCCTCTTTTGGTGGTGGTGGTATTGGTTTGTCTTGGTTGGAGGCCGGCTGAATGGGGGCGCCTCAACTTCCGGTTGGGGGAGGGGAGGAAGGCCGTCCTGGGGGAGGGGGGACACCCTCACTTCCTGTTGGGGGGGTGGTGATGGTTTGGGGGTGTCCAACCCACTTCCAGTGCTGGTGAGGGCTTGAAAAGGTGGTGCTTGGTGCCATTCGCGGAGACCGTATCTTGCAGCTTGGGGGTTGTGTTTTATGTGAAAAGTTAGGTTATTCCAAGTTGTGCTGAACACCAACCTACAGTCAGAATTTATGAGTTTGTTTCCACGTGGAAGATGGAGCATTTCCTCCCCAGCAAAATTGTCTCAGTGTTTTCTTCAAAGAATTCGAAAGCCCTTGTTAAAAAATCTCTATTCACCTCTGCAAGACCACATAGCTTGTGTGACTGATGAATTGCCAACACCTGCACCCCTACTCAAGTCCAGCCTCGGATGGGTGAAGTGTGGTGCCCTCTGCCTTGACATGCAACAGGAAATCTAGCTTCTCTTTTAAGGAGATAACTTTTTATTTAGGGGACTGAATATTTTACATAAAATCCGGGGCGTTTTCTTCTTAGCAGAATGAAAATATCACACTAAAGTACTCAAATTTGATGTTAGCTTAACTGATAAAATTGACGTCTTAAATTATTAGTCCTGTTGATTTTGGCTACAGGTTTTGCCCTGTGCCTGAGAACAACTTCCTCAGCCTTAAAAATTCTTATGCGTAGCTTACACGTAACATTTGTGAAAGTTGCATTTTATTACATTTTCCTCCTTTGTAATTTAATTCATCACTGATTTTTAAATGGTATCTGTTCTTTGTGGTATTAAAGTATAACACAAGGGTCATGAGACTCAGCTCCGATTCTAAACAGGAAAAAGCTGGCTCACAAAGGACAAAAGATCAATAAGAACTTTCTGGTTTTCAATATCTCATTTGTAATAAACTGTATGTGAGGTGGTAATAAACACTCAATAATTTTGATTCCTTGGCTTCTGTTGTCAGATAACACAATACTTAGAGGGGTGTGTGTCTGTGTGTTGAAGGAATCAATCTATTTGAAGCTTACTTTGTGAAATCTGAATAATGTTAGTAATTTTAGGATATGTTATCAGTGAACCTAGAACTGTATTTTGAAGTAATAAGGCCTGTGTACTTTTACTTTTGGGATTGTACTTAATCTAGCCTCAGACTCTGCAATTATTTTAATTCTATAGTAGTTTTTTTAAAAAGCTGTTTGGTCACGCCTGTAATCCCAGCACTTTGGGAGGCCAAGGCTGGCACATCACGAGGTCAGGAGTTGGAGACTAGGCTGGCCAGCATGGTGAAACCCCGTCTCTTCTAAAAATGCAAAAATTAGCTGGACATGGTGGCGCACACCTGTAGTCCCAGCTACTCAGGAGGCTGAGGCAGGAGAATTGCTTGAACCCGGGAGGTGTAGGTTGCAGTGAGCCGAGATCCCGCCACTGCACTCCAGCCTGGGCGACAGAGCGAGACTCCGTCTCAAAAATAAATAAATAAATAGCCGTTTGGTTTAGAGTTCATTAGAAAATATGTTTTAAACCAAATATTACAGTTAAAAAAAAAAAAACATGTTTTAACCTTCTGTTGTCACTTTAAAAAAAAAAGTCTAAGACCTTAAAATCAAGTATGATTTATATTTTGAAAGACCACACAGGCCGGGCGCGGTGGCTCAAGCCTGTAATCCCAGCACTTTGGGAGGCCGAGGCGGGCGGATCACAAGGTCAGGAGATCGAGACCACAGTGAAACCCCGTCTCTACTAAAAATACAAAAAATTAGCCGGGCGCGGTGGCGGGCGCCTGTAGTCCCAGCTACTCAGGAGGCTGAGGCAGGAGAATGGCGGGAACCCGGGAGGCGGAGCTTGCAGTGAGCCGAGATCGCGCCACTGCACTCCAGCCTGGGCAACAGCGTGAGACTCCGTCTCAAAAAAAAAAAAAAAAAAAAAAAGACCACACAATTGCAGTAGTTGACTGAAAAGACAAAATATTGGCTTCGTGGTTATTAATAGGTTAGGAACATGTAGACTGCCCCAAGTATTAATTGATTAAAGAAAAAGTGTTCACTATCTTCTGTATTAATGTAATATAGAAGAAAATATAGTCACCCTGACAAATGAAACTATAGTGTTAGGAAATATTGAAGTATGGAAAGATTGTAGAACTAAATGAAAAAAATAGAGAATATCATGTTAAAATACTGATTGAGGTAGAGTAATATTGCCTTTTGGAAACTGTCTTTATTAAATTGGTCTTTATGATACTCCATGGAAGAAAGACAGTATAATAGAAATAAGAAAAATTGCTGCAGCTGAAAGACTTGAGCAGCTTGAAGAACTGTCTGTTTAGAAGAAAGCAATATATAAAGTACATATCTGAAAGAAGGTATTTTGTGATAAGTGGCAGTTATTCATTGGTTCCATCAAAGAAGAAATATTAGAAAAGCCTGTGAAAAATAGAGAGGGAAAGTCCATAGAACCTGTTTTTATTCTTTTTTAAAAATGTTTCTTTGGAGAGGCTTGCTGTCCTCCAAAGTTTTGGTTTTTTTTCTTTTTTCATTAATGCCCTTTGTGCAGTTTTCTTTGCATGTTTAATGGAAATATAATATCAAAATTTAAAGAATTAAGATTAAGATTTTTGTACATGTACTGTTACTTCAAGTTAATGAATTTGAGGTTTCATTCCATTACTTGCCAGCTATATAATAAAGAAATTGTCAATTTTTTTTTCAAATACTTGGATTAGATAACCATTTTGTTTCTCAAAGACTCATTGGATACACTGCTCACAGCAGTTTGAAATATTAAAACCGTAGGTCACAATTCTGGCTTCCATCTGACTGAAATTCGATTATCCACAGAGATGTTATACATAATACAGAAGTGTCTTTTCATTCTTTCATCTACTTTTCTTTGTAAAATCAGGCTAATGTTTTGCAACTATTGCTTTCTTTGTTTGTCGTTTTGATGGTGGTTTATTTTTGTTGTTGTTGTTTTTGCCATAGGGTTGAGGATTAAAGGAAGTATCTTAAGAACTTGAATGGGTTTTCAACTTACTGCTTTGCTGTCTTTATTTCATAGTCTTCACGGGTATTCAAATGAGAATACCCCTTACATAACTTTTCATTATTTCAGCAAAAGTTTAGTGTCTACTATGTGCCAGTCACTGTTCTCAGGTCTATGAATACAGTAAATATGGCCAAATATTCGTATTCTCTTGTAGTTTACTCTCTAATTTACAAATTAAAACTGGAAATTTGCTCACTTGGTATTCCTAAATGAGCAAATGATCGGTGTTCAAACTGGATAAAGAAGCAGCCCTAAACCTGATCTCTCCTGGTCTTAATCTCTAAGCCATTCTAAACCCAGATTTGAATGTTTCATGCTAATTTTTCTCCAGACCATAGAAGCCCCTGTGTTAAATATTCAGCCCCTTTCATTGAAATATGTATCATTTTCCTACCATTCTAGCTTCGTTTGTATTGTGAAAACAAATAAGAGTTAACAACGGGGAAAATATGGGATCAGATAGGCCCAAATTCAGCAGTGGTTTCTACATTCTACTAGCTGAGCTTACTAGCTTGGTAACCATGAGCAATTTATTTGACCTCCCTAAGCCTCAGTTTTCCTAAATCCAAATGGGGTTGTTTGGTGGAATCAGAATGTTTTATGTAAATCTCCTGGTCCAATGCCTGGTGCTAGAAGCTTCATTAATGCAATTATCTTACCCCCAATCTTGCTTCTGCTTTTCTGACTATTGTGATTTGCCCACATGTCTGTTTTAAGCTGTACATTTTCCCCACAGTATGGGATGCAGTGGTAGACTGATTGAGCTTCAGCCTTGTCCCCCTATCAGCATGCTCACATAGTTGTCAAGATTTAATTTTTTTTCCTTGTGGGAAGGATAAATCACTAATTTCCATGATTAGAAGATATACAAAATAGAAAAGTTTCAAGGAAAGATTAAGGAATCTTAATCTTGGCACAAATCACTAAGGTAATTTGAATTGTTACAGGCAGACTTTCAACTCATTCTCCTAAACTTATTTAAATACTAAGACCAACAATGAAGACCTTTCACACTGTGATCATACTTCTCATTACTCATCTACACATCCAAATGGGACAGCCTCTGGGAGGAAAAAGAATCTGTACTGCACCCAGCTTTAATATTTTTGCTCATGCTATTTTCTGCCTGAAACACTCTTTTTTTCCTTGGAATCCCCGTCTATCAACATGCCACTTTCTTTCAGGTTGTTTATTGAAGAAATATTTTCTGATATCCATTCTCTTCTACACTCTCCCAAACTGTACATATTCTGTCCATTAACTCTCCAGAGCATTATACCTTTCTTACAGCATTTACTGTCCGGTGCTCCTCTTGTTTGTTTTTATTGTGTTATTGTGGTAGGTAGAGTTTATGCCTTCCCTAAAAGGCTGCAGACTAGATCTTATTCCACTCTGTGCTGTCATACCTGGCACAAGACCATTCACGTCATAGGTATTCAGTAAATATTTGTGGAGGTGAGCTGGTTCTTGGAGTATGATGAAACTGATCAATAACTTTTGTCCACAATTACGCCCAGCATCAGCACAATGGCTACCATACATTAAACACTCAAATATCTATAAAATGAAAGAGTAAATAGTCATCATTCTCTCATTTGGGAGCTTCTTAGGGTGTCAAATAAGCATATATTAAGTACCTACTATATAACTGGAGCCATAAGAACTGATCTCTGCTCCCCAATTTAATTGGAAAAAAGTAAATCATTACTAGTATCTGCAGACTTTGAAGATGGTAGGTGTTTGAGTAGGGATGGCATGGAGAGCTCAGTATAGAGTTGTTTGCATTGTGAGAGATAGCCTCTGTTACCTGAACT